AGCGGAGGATGCCAAATGTGCTGCTTCAGTTCCAATGACAGAAAGAATCCTCAAATGTATAAACATGGCTGTGCGAGGAGCCATCTGTCACATTCTTTACACACGACTGAGTTTCGTCATTAGTGTAAATTACTCGACTTAGCGCCGTACTGTATGCATTCCTGTGTACCAAAAGTAATCACATCTAGCAAACCATGGAGAGGACTGGAATGGTTTCTGAGAGGATCCCTATCATAAACCTTGGAGAGAAGACCAAGACAGATGGGCCACGCTGTAATTAGCCTCAGCGTTTGCCTTTGTATTATATGCATCTGTAAAAAAAAAAAAAGCATGCAGGAAGTCATCAAATCGCACAAATCCACGAGTTCCACTGCTGTGTTATTCACACCTCCATTCATTTAATCATAAGACAGTTACATATGTATTGCATCAGCAGACGGGAGGTTAATATCTTATAACATGCATGTAAATAGCAAGAACTCGGTCTGCCAGGTGAGCTCTGTTTGTGACACATACTACCGCTTATTTCTAGCTCCTCAAGCTTGATTTACAGACATTTGTAACAGCAAGAATTTAAGAGTTTTTAAAAAAATATTTTCCCACTAACCTCAGTGAACATAATCAACATGATCCACAGCTTGAAGAAGAGTTATGCAACACATTGCATTTGAAACGAATAGACTAAGGCACATGTTATACTTTGAAAACAGCCTGCGGATATACAAGGTTAAGGGAGGGAAAATTATTGTATCATACTTATTCGTCTTCGCTTGAGTTTGTCTTTGTATCCTTCTCTATTCCTTCGCGTGTAGCATGTCTCCTATTACTCTTGTACATCTCTCTGTAACCTTGGTGGACTCTTGTGTGTTTCACTCTTTTGGCACTAAAGCGATGAAGTAGAAACACACAGACATGTTCCATATAGACACAGATCTGCCTGAATAAAACACATTGTCCAAGGTCAGACACACGTCACTCCTCACATATTATTTGAATTGCTCTGAAAATGGTGATCATTATAAGTTTTACACTGCAAACTAGGTGTTTGTTTACCTGTGTGTGTGTGTGTGTGTGTGTGTGTGTGTATTCACATGGTTGTGTGTGCAGCTGCATAATGTATGGGTGATTAGCTAATCTAACTGCCATAGGCATTTATCTATATAGGTTTTTAGCAGTTTTAGTGCGTGGGTTTTGGCTATTAGCAAAGTAATCATACATTATTCATTACACCTGCTCCATTTATGAATACCCCACTGTCTTCACCATCTATGTTTACGTGGACTTTGCAGGTTTTCTGTGTTTCAGTTGACATCCTGATCTCTATATGTAGCTCAGCTAAGTGCAGACTGAGTCACTCAAATTAAAGGAAACAAGTGTCTTAGTGAGGTGTTGTACCACCACATGCCACTAGAACACTTTCAGTACACCTTGGCATATATATATTCAGGGACTCCTCACTCGGTTGAACTGCTACCATCAGGCAAACGTTTCTGGAGCACTAAATGAAGAACCTCCAGAATGATCAACAGCTTCATGCCACAAGGGCGGCTGTGGCTCAGGTGGGAGAGCGAGTCGGTCGATGATCGGATGGTTGGCGGTTCGATTCCGCCCTGTAACCTGTTTCATGATCGTTGCGTCCTTAGGCACTTCACCAACCTTGCCTGGTGTGAATGCCTATAAATGGATTGTTTGAGGTGGTGGTCGGAGGGGCAGAATGGATGCCACGCCTCTGTCAGTCTGCCCCAGGGCAGCTGTGGCTACAATCGTAGTTACCACCACCAGAATGAATGTGTGTGAATGAATAATTGACAGTGTAAAGCGTCTTTGAGTGTCCAGAAAATCACTATATAAATCTGATCAATTATTATTATTATTACAAGCTGTCAGAACTGCTGATCCAGATATGCAAACACTTCTTTATTTAAATTGCTTTAAGTTATTGGATCCTGAAGAAACGCTCTTTCGTCTTGCCTGTACTACAGCAAAATGACAATAAACTTGATTTGATTTGATTCTCCAAGTCTCTGGAACTATACTTGAAGGACGGAACATCAATCTTCTAAAAGATATGTTCCTTCATTTTGTGCTATGATGGTAGAAGAGAACACTATCACGAACACCTTTGTCCAGAATCTCCTGTAGGTGTTCAGTTGGGTGGAGATCTGGTGGCTGCAAAGGACACAGCAAATCCAAACTGTGCCACATCAGAGCCACCAGATGACCTCGTTGTAAGGGGTCAAGGTTTTTCCTTCAAATTGTTTACCAGAAGAGGGTGCTGCAGTGCATACGAGAGTGGGTTAGATGTTCCCGGTTTATTGCCTGAAACCACATGGATTCTTATTAACTGAACCACATACTCAATTAATGTGTACACGCGTGTCCCTGAATGTAAAACTCAGCAATGACCGGAGTCACCGGAGTCATTGTGTTGATTGTAAAGAAAATGTCCTATTAATTCGACCCTCTGTGCTAAATTACATATCGACCCTCAGACAGCCAGCACGTGGACGCACAACCCTGTTTATCAATCCACAGTTAGGCTTTTTTTTTGCCAGGGGGCCTGTGCTCATTTACACACAGAACAACGTATGGCAATTGTCCTACACATGAGAGAGAGAAATGTGTGCTTGTGAACTAATCAGGATGTCTGTTTTATGCTGGATGAAATGTGTTCCTTGTATTAAACCAGTTTCAGCTCATGCTTTTATACCCACTTTTTTTGTAGCTCTAGTTAATCCATTGCTTTGTAAACTGGCTTTAATATGCTGAATGCCTTTTGTAACTATTGCCTTTCTACACTCGCTTGCACATTTTCATTCCACGGGTTTTTGCGGGGCATGTTTGAGTCGTTTTGTAAGGACCGTCCATCTCCGAGACTTTTATTTAATTCTTGCTTTTTCTTTGTGTTTACTCTAAATGAGGACGCTTTCACACTTGCTATTCTGAACCATACTTGAGGATGTTTTAACCCAAAGTCCAGCGTGTTTGTGTGAATTTTGCATTCTTTATCTGGTGCAAAGTGCAATGATTCCTGCGATGGTGTGTTTGGGTAAATATTGGTCCTCATCAGGTGTACTCGGTGTGAAACAGGTATAAAAAGCAAGCTATCCCAAAATCAGGAGTGTGCTTATTATTAGTTCAACATTACTAAACTGTCACTTTTTCAACCACCGCTGAAGGATTGCTCCGGTCTCACGGTGGAATTGAATGTTTACTTGACATTTGGTTAGGTTGGACAGAAGTCATAAAAACTCTGAAGTATGTGGATTGTCTTTTCTTGTCGGTGCATCTGAAACCAGAACTGCAGCAAGGTCAACAGTACTCCACGGTAATGTTTTATAGGGACTCCATCAGTTGGATAACTTACATGTTTACTGTGAATCTAAGTTTCTCTTGGATGGTGATTTAGGCATACGTCATATCCTGAATGCGAATGTTTACCAACCAGAAAGTTTGAAGATGTTAACAGTGGTACGTAGGCATGGTACAGATTAGTCTAATCTGGAAGTGCCATAAAATATGCATCTCTATAGAAAGCAGAATGGGATTGTTTGAGCTCAAATTTTCACAGCCGCACAAACTGAAGTTGGGAGAACAGCAGTATGTATCAGCATTTATTTTTTCCCCTCATCATTCGTTTGAATGCAAACTCGGGTAACTTGCATCATTTCAAAGAGTTTAAACTATACCTTAAAGTGTTTTTGTTTCCATTCATGTTGAGCGTTAACAGTTTTTTTGGTTTTTTTCCTGCAGAGCTAACGCTGTGCATGTGTGTATATATACTGTTTACACCTTCACGCTGTTGAGACCCACCAAAGCTTTTGCGATTGAAAAGCAAGTCCCCGTAACATAAATCATTAAATTGCTGAGTGGAGACTTGGTTTAAAGTTAACGCTCCAGGAAATGCATGTACAGAAGTCAGTGTAATGTCATCTCAAGTCATGGAAACTTGACTGTGTGTGTGTGTGTGTGTGTGTGTTCTGTTTTTCGCTTAAGGGTTGATGTGCTTTTGGGTGAAACATTTGCAGATTGGTACTACATGCTGAATGCATTGTTTTACCAAAGCCTTAAGGTCTTGTACTACGGTTTGGATGGGAATCATGTCTTTGTGTAAACTCACAGCTGCTGTTGTTATAATATTCTTCCACCAGTGGCTTCTCTTATCATAAGACAGTGGCTAGTTGTCAGTGTCTCAACAAAGATGTCTACATTGCAAATACAAAGCACCTTATGGAAATGGGTTTTTTCTTAATTTCAGAAATTTAGGTTAAGCTACAAGGATTTCTCCTTTTGCGTTTTAAACATCAGACTCATTCTCAAACAGTCTTGTAAGCCTGTTTCTGTTAGAGGTGATCAAAGAGGTTGTTTGTAATGCTGCCTCTGGCAACATCTGTCATAGTGCATAACGGACAAATCATCATGCGCCACTTGATATTTGACTTTTTAAACCATGTTCAAATTGCATAAAGTTGAGTTTTTCTAACACCTTTGAAACTGTGTGCTCCTGCCCCCGTGGCAGCATGGGCAGGCCACTTGTTAACCTTTCTTTTTTGTTGCAGTATTGCATTTGTTTTTAGAAATACAGATAAAATCCTGTTTTGTTTTGTTCTTTGGCTAATCAGTAATACTGCCAGCAGCAACTGCACTGGATAACACATTGTGAGTTGATTTAAAGCTTAAGTGCTCTTTATCTGATGTGACATTTAAAATCCTTTTCGGAAACAAACAGTATAGGTAAATCCATTTCATGGCACATTACTTATACTTTTTATACCACCCACCTCTAATAGAGAGGCCAATTAGACGCTTTGAAATGGCACCCACAGGAGTCCTATACATCACCGTGTGTAGGTGCTTGACTGCGTGTGCGCTTGTTTGTCCTTATTTAAGAATGAATGTGTGCATTTGTTTGTGTGTATGTTGTTAGATAAGGTAAAAATCAAATACGGTGACCTATAATGCTCCCAGCCAAACGCATAAATCTCTCCTTTGTCATTTAGGATAGCTGTGCACGAGTTCTCCTGTTCCGTGGGGCCAATAAAGAGATAAAGAACTACAACAGCCAGACTGCTTTTCAGGTATGTGAGGTGTCCAACATTCTCTGTATATTGCTGCGTGCGTTATACTTAGCAATTCTGACATACCACAGCTCAATTATTTGAGATACACGGCCTCATGTTGGCGCATTGAATACATTCATTGCAATTAAAAACTTAAGCAGCCCTATGGCTCCCACCCACGCAGACTTACAGTTTTCGTCCAGCATTTCTGGTTGATGAAGTCCATATTAAATTGACACTGACACAGATTTCCTGCGCAGATCAAACTTAATTTGTTCGTACACAAGCCTGGCTGGTGCATGCAGTGTCCAGAGCACCGCCACACACACACATTTTAACAGCTACTACAGCAACGACAAGTGTGTGGGATATTTATTAGGACAGTGTGAAAGAGAAGAAAAAAAAAAAACAACAATATGAGATGTATTTATATTAATAAAAATTTTGCGAGTTGTTTAAGTTTCTCTTGCTGAACAGACTAACATGTTGCTGCTGTCTTCTCCCTCCTCCAGGTGGCTATAATCGCAGGAAACTTTGATCTGGCAGAAATCATCAAGGTCCACAAAGCATCAGATGTTGGTAAGACGACAGCGGCGGTCGTACATCTCCCCTCAGTGTGTTGCAGGGTTTCAACATGAATGTAGAGTTGGACAGAAGCCAAAGGAAAGCGATCATAGTTTAAATACACTAGGTAGAGAAAATTAAACAAAGGAGATGGAAATGTAGAAAAGGTTTCAGGGGGATTATTAGATCCCTGCTGAGTTGAGCAGCTTCTCTGTGAAGCAACATGCAGGAAAACTCTGCCATCTGGTGTGGACACGGTGTAATATCCTACTCTTTATGTTGGGAAGCAGTGTTACTCAAATGTTTAATTCCTGGTCAAGTCAAACAGAAATGAACAGTGTAGAATTCATTAACACTCCATCATTGTACTATAGATGCATCTTATTATATACAGCCAGTGTGTTGATGTTGTAAGTGTGAACACACATCTCCACTTCGTTAGTAATTCACTGCTATGTTAACAATCTAGTGATCCCATTATCAATCTACTTTTCTTCTTATTCTGTGTTTGATCTTTATTCTTCAGTGATCAAATACAATAATTGCAAAGACTGATATGGCAGTACTGTGGATTAGTACATTCAACTCTAAGGCTTTGCTGCAGTACCACCATGTAATCCTTATGCAAAAGTTTGCACATGTATGTAAATACACAGGCTCAAAGCCAACTGTGATTAGTGCAACCAAGTAACAAGCTTTCCAAAAAAACAACAACATTGAAATCTGTCGAGTTGCGTTTTTTAACCACCGCTCATTCTGCAGCCTGCTATAAAATGTGCTCCTAAGTCAGCATGTGTCTCTTTTTTTTTCCCTTCTCAGTGCCTTTCAGGGAGACCCCCTCCTACACCAACCGTCGACGTGTGATGCCTGGCCCCCTGCCCTCGCCGCGTTCCTTGCTCCGCTCTGCGAGTGACAACAACCTGAACGGGGACCATGATCACATCCACAGTCAGGCCCCCCGAGAAATCCGCGGCCGTCAGGGTCACTCCCCTGTCCCCTCGCTGCGCAGCCTGCCAGCTCTTGGGCAGCAGCACAGCAGCCTTGGAGAGGTCAGTCAGGCTGAACGGGTGTGAAATTTTAATAGAAATTCATGAATGAGGTTAGAAGGATCGAGACAAGGAATAACTTGGACAGATCATTTGATATAATGTCACTGGTGCGTTCTATTTCTAGTTGTGTGTATTATTTTAACACGTGTGTGCGCGATGCTCGTCTGTTCTCCTCTGTGTCAGAGTCGTCACGGAGAGATCCCTGACAGCAGTCTCCAGAGTACCGGCAGCTCCAGATCCTCCCATTCCCGCTCGCCTTCGCTACATCACATGCACGAAGAGGACAAGCCTGTTCCCAGACGGTCCCACAGCCATGGCTACCCTCACGGACATGGCCCTCGTGGAAGGCTCAGGTCTGTGGGATTTACTTTGACATTTCAGCTTCATCTGTAGTAATGCTCAACTAAACTAATTTTTAGACAGCTTTATAAACAAGTAAGTCTCTTTCTTCCTCTTCCTAATTCGTGTTAAACACTTGCCAGTCTTGGCAGCTGTTCACTTTAAAAAGATAATCTGTGACTGACCTTGTGATTATGCACCTACTTTGATATTTAAACCTAATTTCAAAAATCAAAAAGCCCCATGTGATGTGTCTGAGTCACTTGTTAGTCACCAGGCAGCACTCTGCATCTTATTCCATCTGCTACCGTCTGCTACTGGTGATAAACATGACATAACATCAATCAGTGCAGAATCTTGTTTATTTATTCATGCATCTATCCCTGGCACATATAAAAGTTGGTTTACTGTCAAAACTGTTCTTGCAGCCTGCCCAAAAAAAAGTCATCTATATCAGACAGAAACTATGAATTGAATCTGAAAATGTATGTTAATAAATTGGTGTCAGATTTGTAGTGACAGACTGAGACACAGAACTGGAGGAGGACTGTTATAATTGCATTTGGTGTAGCTGTTGTGTGGCCCGTGCTCCTGTCAAGGTATTACTGCATGATCAGTGGCATGATGTGCACCAGGCATAAACAACAGCCCTGTTTATGTAACAAGCTCGGCTGAAATGCAGCATTAGTCCTGCTGGGAGGACAGAAGGCGAATAACATACTTCAGATCAGTGTTTTTGTGTCTCTGTGTTTCTGTACATGTGTGCCACATGACTGTGTGGATAGGTTTGGTGATAGACAGATGGAAAGGTACTAATAATTATCACCATTGGGACCAATTGAAAACTGCCAATCTGTGAGTGTGTGTGGATGTCAGTTGGTGTGAGAGAGACTGAGCGAGAGACGGCGGACACATTCAGAAATTAGAGCTATGAGTAACGTCATTGGACGAGCCGCTCGGTTCAAAACAGCTTGTCAGTGGACTGATACATAAATCCGCAGATGTAGTTGCGCTGATGGGTGCTGGAACAAATCTCCTCCCTTGTACGTTGAACCATTAGACAAACTGCACCGTAAACCGGGGCTCTGATCACATCTCGGAGCGAAAGATTAAACTGGTTTACAGACACTTGGTTTGTTAAGCTTTTTATTATGATCATATGTCAGCACAGGATCACCTACGTACAGCACACACCTAATGGATTTCTCTGCGCCGCACACTGTGTGTGGATGTGTCTAGTGTGTGTGTGTGTGTGTGTGTGAGGGTGTGTGAGTGTGTGTGTGTGTGCAACAGTCTGATGTCTGACAGGGGAATTGCATTACAGACACAGCTCCAGCTGTACTCCTCTCTCCTCTAATACTCTCCTGTCACTCCATCCATCAAAGAGTCTCTCTCACATGCACGTGTACACACTTTTTACCTCTTATTCTGTCATTAGTGCACATACAGACTCTGCCGTCAGTCTGTGGTTTGGAGCCACAGAGCAGTCGCATCCTTTAGGTCACATTACTCCTACATCACAGGAAACTCAAGCTAAAGGCATGAACTAAATTATGCGAGAATCAAATTAAATGAAACTAAGTTCATGCATTCACACTATATTATCAAACTCCACTCTTTAATGTTGTGTTACGGGTTAGGTACATCTTCCTCTGATACATCTGCTTTAGCATTAACATTCACTGGCACAGATACACACCTTTTGCACTGTATCTGTGCTCATTGTGCACAAGGATAATTATACTGCGTGAAAAGAAAGTGGGAAAGACAGAAGTGAAAAGGCACAAAGATAGCAGTGTATCTGCTGTGTCCTGGCCTAAATGGCCTTCTGTACACAGGGAGTTGAGACCTCGTTCTTCAGTGTGCATTACCCTTACACCATGTATTAAAGTGAGGAGAATGTATAAAAAGCCCAAAATGAGCAGCTGGTCTCCATGGCCAGAACCTGCACCCAAGTGAGACTGATGCTGTCCTTGAATATTTTTTCAGTAATATTTCTCCCTCCCTCTCTCTGTGTCTCTCTCTGACCTTCTGTTTATGCCCATGGTAACTCTAGAGGCATTATGGGTGCCAGGGGAGTGTGAAATTAGCTTGGCCGGTCAACAGCCCGCCCAACGGCAGACTCCAGCAAGTTCCTGTGGAACTCACCATCACTTCCTCCTCCGTGGTTGTGTGCAGAGCTGCCAGGGTTCCATGGCTTGGCCGGCGTTCAGCAGATTGGGACAATAGACAGGATAGGTCAGAGAGGTGTGTTTAAACTAGATCAGAACAGAATAACAAACAAAGCTCACAACATCAGACAACATTGACTCCAGCAGATGCAGGAGACGGTATAACTAGACGTGATAGTGGGTTTTAAAGAAAGCACATTTGTCTGTGTCATAAGAGGTTCATTGGCTACTTGCTATGATATGGTGTCAATACAGAGGGATAATTTATACTCAAGGGGACGACGTCTTGACAGCATCAGTGGCAGAAATTGTGATATTGTGCACTTTGGTTCTTAGTTATACATCGTGATTTGGAAGAAAAATGATCAAGCTGCCAGATAGACACATTTTACAGGGAATGAGTGTGTGTTTAGTATAATGCTGAGCACAAGACACTAAGTTTGATTTGATGCTCAGTGTTTCAGCAATGACAGGCTGACACAGAGCATCCTTTTTTTTTCTAACGAACTTCCATTGCAGTTGCAAAAATGACTGTTTTGATGGTTGAATGATCTATCGATTATTGAAATCAACTGTTTACATTGTGAGTTGCTCAATTACTCAGTGGCTCTTATTTAGCTATCAGCTTTTGAAGTTAGCTTGAGATTGTTTTAGGCACGCGCTAACATAGAGTAAAATAAGTAAATATGCTTATTGTGTATTTTTGTCACACAGGCGATAATATCTGGGCTTTTTGTGATTTAGCCTCAAATGCAGCTAATTTCTGATCCCTGGCTTTGATATATTTTAAAACCGGCAGGCTGGGTTGATGTGGTTGACCCAGTGGAGCTAACAATGTTGGGTGATATTTCCAACCATTCTACCTGTTTTCAACTGAGCCAGCCGACTGTAACTTTAGTCTAACAGCTTTTCCTGATGCTTAGATCTGGCCTGGTGGACCGCAGGGTTCACAAGAAACTGGTGGAAATCCAGCTTATTATCTTTGGTTCATCCAGCGTTCCTTCAGATCGTTTGTGCTGAGAGCAGCAGTGGTCAGGCTGTGAGGAGGTGGTCCATACATTTATATAATCACATAGGGCAGCAAATTGCATCAGGCTGTGACACACTTCATTCCGGTAAGTGGTAATGCCTACACAGAGTGTTCCAAGTGAGTGCGACAAACACACAGGAAGACATGAACAACTAATTTAGTCATCACTTTTAGTCAACCACACGGATTATTTGTTACACAAGTGAAGACAATGACATGCCTTATGATGAGCTCAGTTGTTAGCACCATCACCTCACAGCTAGAAGATCCCCGGTTCGCGCCCCGGTTAGGATGCCCGGGATCTTTCTGTGTGGAGTTTGCATGTTTTCTCCGGGTTCTCCGGCTTCCTCACACAGTCCAAAGACATGCTGAGGTTAATTGGTGATTCTAAATTGTCCATAGGTGTGAATGTGAGTGTGCTTGGTTGACTTTTTTGACCTGCGATAGACTGGTGACCTGTCCAGGATGTCCCCTACCTTTGCTCAGCTGGGATAGACTCCAGCCGCCTCACAACCCTAGTGAGGATTAAGTGGTATATACATAATGAATAGATGGATGGCTTTTGACTGGTTTAAATCAGGTGATGGTTTTTTTATACAGTTTTCTAGGAGTTTATTAAAGTGCCGCCAGCACATGTTCTGTTAAATCTCCACCCAGGGCACTGGTTGGATACAATTTTGAATTTAAGGTGAGGCCCTGCTGCCCATTTCCTGAAAATGCAGGGGACCAAATCTTTATTACAAATGAAAATGTTTTCACAAGACGTTGTCAATGAGAAGGAAACAGTGTCATTACCTGCTGATGTGCCGAATCGTGACCCCTTGTGTTATACAGCCTGTATATAATGGCAAGAAACCAACAGAGGAATGTCCTGTTCCCTTCATTTTTCTGTTCTTTGTTACCGTTCCTGCTCACCTCCTTTAAACCTTTATGCCGCCTTTCATTGCATTTGTCACACTAGCGGTTATCGGTGGGATGATTAATCGCAGCATCTTTGGGCTGAGGTACGTGAAAAAGACAAGAATAGGGTAAAATCTGGGAAGAAGATGGACATTTGAGCTTATTCTGCTTTACCTGTGCAGAATTCACCCTCAAAGGAGGACACAGTGGACTGGTATTGATCAGTAGCAGGGATCTAACACTGGTCCATTGGTTTGAAGCACTAATGCTGTCTGGACTAGCATGACGACACACGACAAATCAACAATACAGTAGTTTCATGCAACATGGAGTATTACTAAATGTGCAGTTATTTGTGTGAGTGTTTGTCGGAGTCGGAAGGCATCGAACAATGTGGATGTGGTTTAAAGTTAGCAGACCTTCCTCTGAACATTAATGAAAGATCTACAACACACCAGTGCCTCAAGTAGCTTCAGCATCTTCTGTCACTCTTTCTGGTATGAGTTGGGGTAGCAGTTTAGTAGCCTTGATGTTTTTCTCGCCAGCCACATCCTCCAGCTCTTCCCGGGGGATTATGAGGCATCCCCGGGTCAGATTGGATATGTAATCCCTCCAGCGTGTTCTGGCTATGCCCCAGGGTCTCCTCCAGTTCGAGGTGCCCAAAAGGTTTTACTCCAAGCTCCTTTAGCATATCTTAGTCACTCACTTTGTCCCTGAGGGTGAGCCCAGAAACTGTGTGAAGGAAACTAATTTTGGCTTCTTGTTTTCTGTCAGTTCCCAGAGCTCATGACCGCAGGTGAGAGCTGGAACGCTGATCAAATGAGAACCCCGCTTTCAAACTCAGGTCCCGTTTCGCCATAACGTTCTAGCCCAACACCTTCATCGCAGCAGGTGCCACGTCGACAGCAACTGT